TACATTGTCCTTTTTATTTTCATTTATTGTGTAGCCAAAAGCTAACAGCAGGTATTAGAGGGATTTAGACCAAAACGCCTTTTACCAGACACCTTAGAGCAGGGTCTACCCAGGAGACAAATCTCAATTTAGCACTTTCCCTCTGTGTCCTTTTCTCCCAACTATAGAAAAAAAAACATTAGCAACAGAGAAATAACAATATTTAATATAAAAAAACTTATTTCAATTTACATGCAGGAATGAATGTTTAATCTGAAGAGCTGAAGGAAATTAACAGATATTCTCTTAAAGTCAGTTACAGCATTTAATGATGAAAACCCTTAGTTTACAGTGAAATTGTGTAAAACAGCTGAGACCCCAAAATTGTGAAAAATGGTATGTACCATATTTCCATGATATGTTTAGTAAACGTTCCTTGATTTAATACTGGTTTAGATATCAGTTAACAGACTTGTAACTGACTTGCAACTGAGCTATAAACAAGTCCTGGTCTAGCTCTTTGATTAGCCACAGTATTCCCCTTTTTTAGATAATCAAGCTTAGCTTTGGTTGGCTTCAAACAGGTGCCCTGGCTAAGCTATAAAAAAAGAAAATGAATAGAAAAATGGGGAGCGAATGGTATATATAGGATACTTTTGAAACTGAAACTCACCCTGAATAAAGACTGATTATGAATTAAATCCTCCAATAACCCCTTTAGGCAATTTTTTCTAAACAAGGTGACATAGTTAAATAAAAGATATATATTTATTCTAATGCTTACATTTTGTTTTTTCCCAAAGTCATTTGCTTTCCTATGCTTCTGAGTCACTTCTGGGTCACAGAATTGAACACTTTTCTCTTTGTCTAATCATGCCCTCAGGACTGGCCTTCAAATATTGATCTCAAATTCAGTGTCATAGGCGTTGGTCTTTAAACGTTCCTGGCTGCTGAACGAGTATCAGCCGAGCAGATCTGCTAAGGTGCACAATACTGCTCTGCAGCGCTCAGATAACTTGAAGACATTTGGAGTGGCTCATTTTCTTCCAGCCCGTCTGCCCCGGTGACCTGTGCCTAACTTAAAGGTACATCTCGGGGGCATTTTGATTTGGGCAGAGTGGGGAGGTATCGGTGACAGAGGAACTAATCCAGTATTGCGCAGATTAAGAGTATTTGTGGAAGTGGGGTGTGTTGGCGCTGGGAATGGAACAGAAAGGGTTCCTATCAGCTCTCCAGGCAGGCTGGCCCTCAGGCCAACGCAGTCCTACAGGAGTCTTTGTACTTCCCAAAGCCTCTACTTTCCTCTCACTCACTTTTTTCTTCTGTCTTCTCTCTATATTTGGCTATCAGCTTCTCAGCTCTCCATTTATAGTCATTGCATTGGTGCAATCATGTTGTTTTATAATCCAGCTGAAAGCTACGCTCTTATTAAAACCAGGTGGTGACTGGGACATGTGTGAAAGTTCTGATATGAGCTTCTGACACTTTAAGGAGAATTCAGTCAAATATTTTTCTACCATAACTCACTTGAAAAAGAAAAAAGAACCACAGTAAAATAAAAACCAAGAAATAATCCTTAATGTTATTCATCCTAATATGAAAAAAGAAATCTTGTCTAGCAGCTGTTTTATTTTTTCATCCATAACCACTCCACTCTTTCTGTATCACATTGTTTTATTCTTGCATAAACACTAACAAAGAACAACTAATCAAACATTCACACAAACAACAAAAAAATGTAATTTGACTCGTAGAGAAATTAGTTAGCTGTGAAAAGGGCCCTTTTTTTGTCTCAAGTCTGCTATTTATTTATCTGAAAGGATGCACATTGTATCAATTTACACTTCCCCACTCAGTTTGCCGCAGGCCACAGGGCTCAGAAGTTGAGAGAATTAATTACTTTTTTATTATTATTTATAAAGTAATCTATCTGTAGAGAGTGTGAGGGGGAGAAAAAAAAAGAAAAACGGGGTGGGTGAGGAGGGATAGGGTACTGCGTTTCTTTGTGAGTGTGAGTGTGTGAGAGAGAGACAGGGAACGCCCTGGAGCATTGTCCTTTAAACTGGGTCCTGGCTCACATTATCTCCCAAACCAGCACTCACACAACAAACGAACTGCACGCTGCTGAGGACGCTGTATATGCAGGCGGCTGGTGGGGGGAAAGGAGGAGGAAGGATGGAGACATAAAGGAAGAAAACTCTTCTATAAAGGAGTGTGTTGGGTTTATAAAGAAAATATTTTCCTTCATTTAAACCAAACTTTTAACGCCGATACAAGTACTTCGGTCTTTTATCGAACAAACCTCAGAAATACTACAAAGTTGCAATTTGAGCACACAATGAAAATTTCCTCAGAAGTTCTGAAATTCAGGCTAAAAAATTCAGATCATCCCTGAATTTTAACATGTTTAGTTATATTTCCTACCAGTTAGCACCTCAGCCCAAGGTGCTGAACGTACCACTGAGTGTGGATGTATTTTTATTTTTATCAGTTAGAACATGAAAAAAGGAGATCCTTACATTATTATTACCTTGCGTTGCAGTTCGCACCACTGTAAAGAGTAAGTAGAGCTTAGCTAGAATGGTAAAGCTAATTTCAGTTGTGACGTCCAATAGCATCTGACTGTAAGGCTGGAATCAGATCTGCATAGTTATATTCTTCCAATATTTGCATATATAGATAAAGGCGTCAGGAAATCACAAACACTGAAAGAATCTACTTTTCCAACCTTACCCCACACAGCAAAATAAAAAATAAACACCTGTTGCTGCACCCTGCTGACCAGCTGGCTGAAAAAAGGATCATACGTTACAAAGATGGTGACTTCAGGCTCTATTTTAAAATGTTAAACAGAGTGTTTGAGTGTGTAAAGTAAAAAAGTGATAATAATCTCCATAATAACAAAATATCAAAGGCCATTGTTAACATTTTTATAGTTTTAATTTTCAATTGTTATATTAGCCACAGTAAGAATAATTGTTGCATTTGCTGTTTAATAAAAATAGATTGTTCCCTACATTTTTGTGTTTTTTTGTGGTAATAGCTTATCAAAATGTGACAATTTTATTCAGTTTGTTGTTATCTCTACAGAGGGATGTTTTAAAATAAAAATGCATCAAGATGCAGATGTATTTGTGAGCTGAACCTTGCTCAGGTTAGACCTACACACTGCAGAGAAGAGTCCAGATGTAATCAAAGAGGACAGCTGTAGTTCTGACTCTAGCCTGAATCCTGACAGATAACTTCACCCTCTATCTGCTCCTTCATCAGGCTTAAAGTATTGCGGAGAAACTATATTGATTTTTATTTAGCAGTGTGAACACAAACCAAATGAGAATCTCAGCTTTGCAATGACATGTACCTTTCCCCCCCAAGGAAAACTTGAATTATTAACCAAGGACCTTTTTTTTATGAGGACGTCTGAAGGATACTCTCACACATTGCCAAGTCTTGTCACACTGCAGCTAGCTCCATCCCAATTTGCTAAAATAGCAAAACTGCATCCCGTTAATGATAAGAAGTCATCTTCTCTTGAAGAACTTTTATAAGCATGAATAATGACTGGGCCAATTGTTGGCTATTCTGTTTAATAAGGAAATGATGTAATCAGGCTTTAATTAACCAGTAACTGAAATGGACTCATGCCCTCCAGCTGCCTCTCTCAGGACACTTCCCTCCTTCCCGTTTCACTTTAAGCAAACCGCCCTCCTCTTCCACCCCAGCATGTTCAGCTCCATATGTGAGGAAGCAAAACATGTGTCAGACACGAAGAAGGCCATGAATCTCCCTCTTATAGATAAATGTCACATGCTTTGTACGCAGATGTGAAGGGGGGCAGTGGGGGTTTCCTTACTGATAGAATTAACATGTGGAAGTGACTAACCGGTCTTTGTGTTTCTGATGTGCTTCGGGGTACTTCATATTTCCAGGGAGGCCCTTATAAATGATTAATTTGCAGAATGTGGTTAATTTCCCCTCTCAGAGGGATCACTCCTGGCCTGGGCATGTCGGCCATTTTCCTTAGGCCTTGTTTTGCTGCATGCATATGTGCATGTAAGGGTTTGTGGATGCATGCTTGCAAACATATGTGTGGGAGTGTATCGGCCCCTGTTTAACTACCTCCATGATGGGCTAATTGGTTTAGCAGCAAAGGGGCCAAAGGCCAGTGTAGCATAGCGAAGCTCAACATGAACCTGATGTTGAAAGGAAGAGAGAAGCATGTGTGGAACAGTTACTATATTTTTTAGTTTTTTTTTTTTTTTTTTATAAAATCTTTTCTCCCCCACAGACCCCAGAATGGGAACTGGCAGCATGGGAGCAACTTTATTTTTCTACATAGAGGCAACATAATCTCTTCCATTTTAACTTTTTCCAGACCTTCTGACGAGTGTCACTTGCTATTACACTAATCTACTATATTGAAATGGTAGCTTTTATGCATTATCAATAATATACAGCTGTAATGTTCAAGGCAAACTCAAACTTGCAGGATAAGTGCCCCCCTTTACTTGGGTTTGTGGAGCCTACTTTGTGTGGGGATCTGAGGGGATCATTTACCAGTTCCAACTCCATTACTATTCATGAGATGGGTAGGCTAGGGGCGAGGGATTAGGGACTCCCTTGGTGCTTGTTGTGCCACAGGCTTGGGCTCAGGCCTCAGGCTCTGGGACACAAGCTGTCTGGCAAGGATGGTGGGTCTATTATCATACTGGGACCCTTCTGTCCCACAGTAGAACGGTTACTGTCAGGACCAGCTAATGGAAACAGTGTCTCTTGTTCCCTTTCCGTGTGTTTTAACCTCAACGACCTCCTTGTTCTCTTTCACTTGCTCCTAAAAGAGATTTAAAAGTTTCTTACTCATTTTAAAGTTTGAAATGATCCATTTCTCCAGACTTTCTTCACCATTAAGGGAAGGATGGAGCTATACTTGCAGAGTAAAAAAAATATATATTGCTGAACTCTTTTGATCCTCAGTTTGTCCAACTTTCAATATCTTCCTGCGCTCTCTTCCCTCACTCTAGGTGATGAGCATCCTGAGTAACCCCAGCGCTGTACCCTCGCAGCCCCAGCACGACTTCTCCATCTCTCCGCTTCACAGCAGTCTTGAGAGCTCCAACCCCATCTCAGCCAGCTGCAGCCAGCGCTCTGACACCATCAAGAGCGTGGACAGCCTGGCTTCCTCCCAGTCGTACTGCCCTCCAACCTACAGCGCCACCAGCTACAGTGTGGACCCTGTCACTGCTGGCTACCAGTACAGCCAGTATGGCCAGAGTAAGGACATTTTCTTTATTTTTTCTGCTTTTAAAAGTCAAATTACTCTTTCCTGTCTGTGCTCTAAGACTTAATAAACAAACAGAGCTTTATGCCCCTCCTATGCTACTTTTCAAATTTTTTTGTTTTGAGGCTACGGACTTTAATATTTTAATTAGGATTTTTTCAGTAATAGACAAAAACAAAGTACCTCATCAAATTGAAGTACATTTGTTAGTCCAACAGCCAATCCCTAAAGCAGTTTAGTCATATAATATATATATATATATATATATATATATATATATATATATATATATATATATATATATATATATATATATATATAATATAAAAACCATAAGATATGGTCAGTTTCAGAAAGTATTTCAAGTATTTATTAACATAAGTATTTAAGTTGGCAGCTGTTTCTCTGTTAGTTCTGTGTCTAGATGCAAATTACCAAGCATAAAAATGCTTTACTGTAAATTTTTCAATATAAAACTGTCTTAATGTTTGGTCTACTTGCATGATACAGTCAGTACCATGTTTTAATCAGATTTAGTCTCATTTGGTCAGAGCAGGTTTTCTCTCCCTCTAGAATAGCTTTTATTCAACATCTAACAGATTTTCAGCAGTAATGAATCTCTTCTATTGATGCCACATATGTAATAGTTGTCCTGTTGGTGCATTCTCCCACCTAGGCTGTGCATCTCAACAGCTCTTCTAGAGTAATTATATTGATCTTAGCTATGTCTATAAGCATTGTTTCCCAAGTTTTACTTAAATGGGCAACCATATTCGATTAATTTCCCATTTGTGCCATACTTCTAAAGAAGGCTGGGATTATATGGATTTTATGTAAGGGTATCGGAGTAGAATGGGGTTAAATGCAGACACAGGACAATTATTTATTTTTTTTATTGTAAAAAATATAAATGATGCATAAGTTCGACTTATTTTCACTTCTATTTGTTGGCTTAACACAGAAGTTCCCAGTAAAATACATGAAAGTTAGCTTTAATTTAGCAAAATGAGGAAAAAAATCAGGGAATATGAATACTTGTGGGGAGCATGGTGAAAAGGTGATGCCTACCTTCTAGGAAGGAGAGCCTCCTGACCTTTCCAACCCTGGATTGTGAAGGCAGACACGTGCTCTTGATAAAGCCCCCCCCACCCACTTCTCATCCTTCCACCTCCATCCTGCTGCAGAGTTACCTCAGTCACACCCCACTCCACTTGGATGGGAAAGAGAGGAGGGCCACTTCAAAGGACGGCAGACCCTCAGGGCCCACAGTGTCCTCTTGCCCACCTCTCTTTCTCTTGTCTCCATCACACACACACATACAAGTCCCCCTCAGGACAGGAAAGAGTTTGCTTTATTAGATTAGTATAATTGACTGATGCTGTCACAACCATTCATGAGAGCTAAAATGAAGCACACTTCCCCAAACAAGGCAGCCAGCAGCAGCTATCTCACATTTGTTTGTTATTTACGTGGATGTTCCTGTAGCGATGATGGGTTTTGTGCTTTGAGGATCTGCGCATGCAAGCCCGTGCCAGTCTGTCAAGTTTCAGGGTGTGTGCGCACAGCAGAGAAGAAACTGATGGCAGCGCGGATGTGATCTGATGTGAGGTTAATTAAGACGGTGATTGAGCACAGTAGATGGGTAATGAATGGAGGGGAAAGGGAAGAGCTGCTGTCTGACGATGAAAATGATCGGCCATGTGGAGTGTGGAGGGCATGAAATCAGAGATGCCAGGAGTAATGAAGACTGGCACACAGAACACACACGGGGACCCCTGTGACTGACAGCATGGAGACTCCACCAGGATGCACATGCTCCATGCCAACAGCGTGCCAACCTCAGACAAGTGACAGGGGAGGGGTTTTTTATCTTTCACTCTAGCTGTCTGAATTGTTTTTTATTTGACTCAGTCTTCTCTGCCACAACTTGTTACAGCCTTAATCAGAAGGATGATATGAGAGCGAGTAGGACGTGTGCCGCTGATGTCCACCACCTGTCTCATGCGTGTGTTTTTTTTCTTTCTTTCTCATTTTTTTCCTTTCAGCTGCGGTGGATTACCTGGCTAAGAATGTGAGCTTGTCCACCCAGAGGAGGATGAAACTCGGGGACCACTCAGCTGTGCTGGGGCTCCTGCAAGTAGAGACGGGACAGGCCTACTGAAGACACCTCACACTCATCCTCCACCTCCTGTCTCTCCGTTTCATCCGCCTCAGTTTGCTCCATGCTTTCCATCAAGCCTGGACTCCAGGTCAACTCTGTGATGCCCGTCATGACATCGGAGAAAGTGACGGTTTTAGGGAAGGCAAGATGTTCTTCAGACAAATTCTAATTGTTAACGAGCATTTAGCTCAGAGGGACCAAACAGGAGCCCTAGGATGGCGGAGTTGGGACGCCTTGAGCTCCTTCTTTGTCATGGCTTCAGTCCAGCACACGTTTAGAGCCATCAACAACATGTACTTTGACCTTGCTGTTCATAGTAGTTAACAAAGCCAACATCATTTGAATAACTCTTATTCCTTGTTCCTTTTTTGATATTGTTAAGCCTATTGTTGCTGTTCTATGATTATGGTTAATGTGATTTTTGTTGTTGTTTGAATCCATTCGTGTCTCTTTTATCTGTCTGATGTTGGTGCGTTAAAAAACCCCAATGGAGGATGACTGAGACGATATGAAAGCGACTGTCTGTTGCGCGTGTGTGTACGTTTGCGTGTCAGCACATTTACACACAAGAGGAGATGATTGTTTTCCAAGCTGCTGCTCCCTGAGCTCCAACGCTCATGAGCGATTTGACCTTCCCACTTTCATATTCCTCTTGACATTCCTAAAGAACTTGGCCACTCTGTGGGAAGTCTGGCTGGATGGATTCAGCAGGGAATTTAAGCAGCGTATTGGCCGCCAATAGCTTCCCCACCACACGTCTTCGTAACCTCCATCCAATGCTTAGCTGTGGCCCACAGGGAAAGGGGGGCATTGTTTGCAAAAACAGGATTGGGGAAATTAATGTGTTTTGAAATATAGACCTTGCCAAGGAGGGCTAACTCACTCAAACCAGCAGCTCCCCATACCCACTCCCTGGAAAGCCCATCTTCCAGGAAATCCTCTGTTTGGCTTAAACACTTTAAAGCTGATTAAATCACACAAATATAATGTCAAAGCTAATTCACAGTGACCCTTTTCCTTTAAGCCTTTCAGTTCCTTTACCCATTTTGTAAATGCACCTTTAGTTCGTTTCAACTTCATGAATAAAACAGGCACTCCTTCAAAACATTCCTCACTCTCTTTCAATAAAAAAAATATATATATATAGAAAAGCATTCCAGCATTTTCTGGTTCTGTTGTGAGATTAAAGAAAGGACAAGCTGTGCCATTCACGTGCACTCTGGAAAATCACATAATCCAGTCATCTGTGAAAGGGCACAGGTAACGCCGCTGATTGGCCCCCCACTTCGGTTTGGACCAGAGCCTCGGCCTATAATCCTCCAGCTTTTAAGATTTCAACAAAATGTACAAAAAAGGCAGAAAAAAATGTAATAGTTGATATGAGAAATTTGTGTAGCACTCATAGTTGACTTTGGATATGAAAGAGGACCAGCTGTTCTTTTGAGGTCTTAATGTTTTTCTGACATCACTGTACACAGAGAATTGGACCCTCTGTCGCCTTTAAAATCAGTAAAAAAAAAATGTACATTTCCAAAAGCAGATTGTGTATTGTTTGGTTATAAAGAGTATGTTTTATACTAGCATAATGAGTGGGAGGTCATCGAGGGATCTGTAAGAGAAAATGATTTATATGAGTGTCGTTGACCAGCCTGTTTTCTGTTTTGTTTGTTTATGTTGTTTTTTTCTTTGTTTTATTTCTTATTTAATTGTTTAAGTTGTTTGAGCCAAAAATGTTTTGTTACTGTTTTTGGCCCCAATGAGAACAAATTTGTATAAATTAGCGCAGTTGTAAAAGAAGTTTAAAGTTAAAGTGAGTTAAGGAGGATTAAAATGAGCTCAGATAAAAAAGGAAAAAGCTTGTTTTCTCAGATGGACTCTGGTTGGACCACACTGTACATTTGAAAAGTGGCAGGAAGAGACATCTTCACCTGCCAGAGAGTTTCTAGCAGCTGGTTTCACAGACTGATAATGAATGGACCACGGACCTAACACCGCCCGCACCCAGAGCCATTTTGGTTGTGGCACTGTTGATGGATGCGAGTGACAGTACCCCCCCCACCCCACCTGAGGGTAAGGGGTAAAACTGAAGAGTCAGGCTTTGATTTGTGGACCAATAGGACTTCAGGAGTACAAAGCAACGCTGACTCCACTCTGAGCGGCAGCTGCTGCTGCTGCTCCACTTTGAAACCTCACTCTTGTACATTTTAAAACTGAAAAATTTTAGACTTGTCTTTAGTGTATCAAACCCATTTCTAACACTTGGATATTTAAGGCATACAGCTCCTTATTCCTCCTCCCCTTCTTCCTCTTCCTCCTGTCTCTGTGAGCCCTAACCTGTTTTAGTTGCTTTCTGACATCTGTGCTTTGCTTTACTCCTCTTTCTGTTCCGCATGTGTGTATATTATCATGGTATAATTTATTCTGCTGTATGAAGTATTAGAGTAGTGGGAAACTTGTATTGGTATTTACTACCTTCAGCCTGTTGGTGTGTTTAATGTAACACTGGCGTAACTGTTATCAATTAAAGATCCAAAACTGACTTCCTGTGTGTTTCATTACGGAATAAATCCTATGATGTTTTTCATACAAAAATTACCTAACTGATTAATAGACTCATGGAAGAGAAAAAAAAAATAATATCATTACATCATCTCTACCATTCAAGTTTAAAAATGATCCAGGTTTTTAAATTGTTTTAATTCAACCTAAAGTGTAAAAAAAGTAAAACAAAAAAACTGCCCCAGATAAGAGTGAGAATCCTTGCTTTTGCATTTAAATAACCCAGAGAGATGCATTGGTGTGGGATACACTGATTTAAAGTTTTGTTTATAAATTAAATTCTATTTCAATTAGATTTAACAAATCTGTTTAGAAATGTGTTGGATGTTATTTTATATCTTACAAAAGTTGAAGCGAATGCAATAGAAATACTAAAGTCTGATTTGAATTGAGACTGCAATAAAGAAATGTTGATGCATTTTCTGAGGAATAAATAAATAAATGCATCAAGGTATTGATGCATTTCATACACTGAAAAGTAACCCAGATTTTACGGTGTTTGATCTTAGAAAATTGGCAATTAATTAGTGTGCCACCTTTAAGTCGCAATTGCATATTTTCTCCTGATTTATGCATCCTTCCAAATATGGTAAAAGTCTCCATCTTGAGCTTATTCTTTTTCTACTGATAGTTTTTCCTTTTTTAAAACATTAAATACATCTTAAAATAGGTGAAACTACTGTATGTAAAGTAAATTGAAAGCGGCATCTGATGTTGTTTTTACTTGGGCTGAAACAATTAATCGTGATTGATGGATTTTTAAAGTAATTGTCAACTAATTTAGTAATCGATTAATAATTAAATGGAGTATAGAGACCCTAAAACATGCCTCTAGCAGACAGAGGAACCCACCTTAAGCAGCAATTATACCAACATTGTAAAAAATTGTCTAAACATTTTGCATTTAAGATTAAAATCTTTTTCATTTGTGAATATTATCTGTCCAGAAATCCTCAAGTGGAAAAGTCTCATAATTTCTTAAAAAGTCTTCTTTTGCTATCCTATTATTAATCGATTAATCCAAAAAAAATTATCAACAGATTTATCGATTTGCAAAATAATGCAGCCCTAGTTTTTACCTTTAGGATTAGCCTTTTACAAATTATAGAACAATCTGTGTGTCCACAAAGCTTGAACAAGTATCAGTCTATCTCTTCTCTGTTTGTTAAACTGTTTTTGTGGGGTCACTGGGCCACCATTGACTTTTTGGAGTGCTGTTGATGTGATTAGCGAGTGATGAGAGCTCAGACGTCTGAGACAGGGAAACACAGACAGAGTGTGCGTCTCACAGCAGCTGTAGGAAGTAATTCATTCTGCCTGCTGACCAGCAACACTCATTTCAGCCCACAGCCGAACAGGGAATGTAGGCTGCAAATCTCTGTGGTATGGTGTGAATGTAGGGGAACTAACCGGTACGGTATGGCAGCATCCGCTGTGCTTTATATTACATGACAGAACACTGGAGCACATTTAGTCTCTTACCAACAGCACTGCTGGAGACATGTCAAACCCGCCGTAGGTATGTTCTTTTCGTCCTGGCTTACTTTTAAGAACATTTCATCATACTGGATGTGACAGCAAACATTATATTGCGTAAAGCAGGAGGGATGGGTTCAGACACATATTTTTTATAAATGAAAATCTGCGTGCATTTGAATTCATCCCCTTTCATTATGACGCCACAAAATAAAATCCAGTGCAACCATTTGCCTTTTGTCAAATGCACGGCAAAAGAAAATCAATTGAAGTTTGCTGTTATTAAGTTTGTGACCAACTTCCCCTATCTAAGTGAAGTAAAAGATCCACAGAATATTATACTGCCACCACCGTGTTTCAGAGTGGAGATGATGAATTCAGAAGATATTGAGTGTTAATTTGTTTTCCCACTCATTTCCGCACTGTGTTCTTTTCAGAAAATTACATTTCAGTCAGTTGTTTGTAACAATATATATATATATATATATATATATATATATATATATATATATATATATATATATATATATATATATAT